AACCAAAAAAAAAACCCAAAAAACCAAAAAACAAAACCAAAAAAAAAAATCCCCAAAACAAAAACAATGATTTAGTTGAAAAGGCCATGTTCTGTTTTATACACTAGTAAACATTAAACTTAGATACCAAAAATTTCCATTGTTCCAATGGTATTTTCTGTGTCTGAGCTTCTAGAATCTAAGTTAATAGAGTTTATCCCGCCCTCTCTTCTCCACAGTATGTTTCAGATGCACAGTGGTTATATATATCCACTGATGTAGCCAACATCCACAGAGAGCCACAGAATAGTGACTATTTTACAGATTTAAAAATTTTCAATTTATTTTGAGAAATGCTATAGAAAATGATATTTTCATAACTTGGACTTCCTAATATTAAGCCTGTTATTAAGGCTACCAGCAAGTCCAGCAGTAGCCATTAAATGAACGTCTACTGCTGACGTTAATGTACAGGGGTCAACAGGACAAAGCTCTGGGGCATGATAGCTGATCTGGGAGACGATGAGCTGCCCCACATCCCTTCAGGAATCATTAATCAGCCTAGGTCAGCCTCTACTAAAGTGACTGAGCATGAAGGTGCAAGAGGCGAGGAAGGTACGACATTTAGCTATCATGTTTGTATTGCCAAGGACTTTAACTCCAAATCACCTCTTATTATTTGCTGTTAAAGAAAATGCTGAAGATCATCATACATAATCTTCAGAGAAGCCGTTGGGCAAGTTCTTGATATAATTGCTTAGGGATTTAGAAACTTGACCTCTAGTGGGTTTTTTTTTTTTTTTTTTTTTTTTTTTTTTTTTTTTTTTTTTGTCTTTTTTGAGACAGGGTCTCCTTGTAGCCCCAGCCGGCCCGGGACTCACTATGTAGACCAGGCTGGCCTCGAGCTCACAAAGATCCACCTGCCTCTGCCTCCTGAGTGCTGGGATTAAAGGTGTGTGCCACCACGCCCGGCTGACCTCTAGTTTTTTATCCTTATTTTTTGTTTGGTTGGTTGGTTTTGTTGTTTGAGACAGTCTCATTGTGTAGACCAGACTGGCCTCAAACTGATATGAGGATCTGCCTGCCTCTGCCTCAAGTGCTGGGATTAAAGGCGTGCACCACCAACCCTAGCTATGTTTGCTTTTGTCTTTAACGTTAGCTGTCATTTCAGAGCACCTTCCTTAACTCTGACTTCAGCTTATAGTTCTAGTATCAGAAAAAGAATAATTGCTAATTAAAGTTTGAATAATACATATGGAAAAATAGCATCCTTTGTCTTAGGGTTTAAATGTAGCAATTGTTAATGACTGTCAATTATTAGAAATTCTAGGCATTGCATTTGGAACTTCATATAATTTATTAATTATTTTAGGATAAGAAACATTATTCTTTAACTTGGTAGCAAATATTCATGATGTAATAATGAATTTTCTAAAATTTACCTAAACTAGAACCATATAGGAAATAAAAATGCTAATTTAAGCATTTTTTTAAAAACTTCATTTTGCCTAAATGTGTACAGATAATTTATAATCCCAGGTGAACAGAGTTATAATTCTAGGTGATAAATCTGAATTTTTAACCAAAATTGCTTCAGTATAATGTATATATAACTCAATAAGTTCATACAGATTTAGTTTCATTTATACTTCTGCTTTTTGCTGTGTTAAGGGGATTTGTTTGCCCTGTCTAAAAAACTTTTTATGCCTTGTTCTCCTAAATTTTTCTGTAAAAATGTGTTTTTCCTACAGCTCAAGTTAGATAATTTTGCATTTTTTCTCACATTAATTTATTTCTTTATTTTCTAATCTGTAGGAAAAGTTGAGGAAAGATAAAAATCGCTAAAGAATGAAAATTAGGAGTCTTGATTTTTGTTTATTTCATTTCCACTATTGAACTATTTTTGTGTTTTTTTTTTTCCCTGTAGGAAATACTTTCTAAAATACACATCAACTATTTTTCATTTTCTGTATTTAGGAATTTTTTAACCAAATGTGTAGTACAGTTTACTGAAAATTTTGTTTGCATTTTAGACTGTTGATTTTGCAGTGTAAGACAGAAGAACTCTTTAATGTTTCAAACTAACTTACTGAAAAAGCTCACTTTACATAAAAACCAATTTAGACCTCTGAGTATTTATGTGTATGAGTGTGTTTAAAGAAATACGTAGATTTTTCTAACATTGTCATTTAAAGAGATGGGAAACTTGGATCCAGTTCATAGTCTAGTTCAGCGACAACCTTCATGGGTGCTTTCTTTTTGAATCCACATTACACCTGAATTTATAAAGAATAGATCCTGTTTTTAAGGAAGATCCTTGCTGGGCGTGGTGGTGCATGCCTTTAATCCCAGGGCTTGGGAGGCAGAGGCAGGTGGATCTCTGTGAGTTCAAGGACAGCTGGGACTACAGGGAGACCCTGTCTCAAAAAGACCAAAAAAAAAAGAGAAAGATCCTTCCTTCTATCTCGTACTTTTCACACTATTATTACTTAAGACAAGATAATATACCATGTTGTATTGGCATAAATGGAATCAATAGCTGGACTGAGTGTTTAGGTTTGACAAAATCAGAGAAGTGCTGGGGCTGTCTCTCGGGGCAGAGTGCTTGCCTAACGATGTGCAGGGTGCTGAGAGCAAGCACAGATCGGAGGAGAGAGGAAGTGTTTGATAAGTGAGCTACAGGTTTCCTTGTAGTCCATCAAAAGGATTAAATACAGGACTCTGAAAAGAACTTTAAGTTTGTATTTCATAGCCCCTATGGTTTCCAGAAAAGAAAATTCTTCTTAATGAAAAGTGTTGGAATTTCTATCATTAAATTAAACACTTTTTTTAATAAATGATTTTATTTTTTAAATTAATGACATTTTATGCTATGTAACTATAATTACCTATGCTGTGTATAAGTAATTATATTAAAATGAATTTGTAAGATGGACGTTAAGTTTTTGGCAGAAAAATAGAGCAAACAAATTAAGACTTTACTGTGATTGCTCTATGCGACAGTGACGGTGATATGGAAAGCAGAAAGAGTAATGTAAAAGATTGTTTGGTGTACTCAATGTGTAACGAAATGACGAAAGAATAGCATAGCTTGCTCCACATGGATACATGTGTGTGTCTGTAAAGGGACAGAAACAGAGCTACATGATTAATTAGAAATAACGGTTTTTTTTGTTAAATAAGCCAACTAAAACTGTTAAGCCACTTCTGTTCTTATGCTCCTAAGTTGATCAATGGTTGAGTAGAAATAATCTCACAGAAAGAATTTGTAAGGAAATGAGTTAGTCGTTGTATTGGTCTTTTAGATTTGTGTTACTGAATGTTTTATAGTTGTCAATGAAAGACATTGTGACATTTTGTTTTAAATTGTCTTAGAAACAAAGTATAAACTTGAGTAAATCTTTGTACTGGTAAAATGCTTTTCAGTAAAGTGTTACTAATGACTTTATGAGCCTCTTAGCTCCTTTTGGCATTATCAATAACTGTACTAGCACTGATAGGAGGGATCAGTTGCTGCATATTGTTCAGATTCGAGTACAATCATTGGATGATGGTTTAAGTACTCAGCACACACACAGAGAAACACACACATTTTCAAGTTTAGTTGTAGAATAATGCCTTCATTTTAGGATAAATTGAGTCAGATTATACAGTGATAGAATAAAATAAGAAAATATTTTAAGTAAAATTAATTTTGTATCTATAGATTATTTTTCAGTATTACTAATGAATGCGTTTAAAAAGTACTGTTGTGGGCTAAAGAGATGGCTCAGTGGTTAAGCATTGGCTGCTTTTCCAGAGTACAAGGGTTTTGTTCCCAGCAACAGCTAATAACCATCCCTAACTCTAGTTCCATTGTATACAACATCCTCTTCTGGCCTTTGAGGGCATTGCATGCATGGGTGTGCTTGCATGCATGCAAGTAAACACTTCATATACATAAAATATAATAAAAAAATTAAGACTAGTATTAGTGTATTCATTATACCTGTTTCCTGTATTCCATGAAATTTCCCATTTTTAAAGGAAATTTTTATAGTTTATCAGACTGAGTTTTGAATGTTTTTTAAATTTGTTCATGAATTTAAAACTTTTAGGTTGAGTTATGCATTTAGTATTTCCTATTTCATATTACTATTTTGCTTTCAAAGCAAATGCTTAAAATTATATTGAGAATTATAGCTTACACTGTATTTTGTTATAGTCAGCCGTTCAAAGTATGGCAGTTAGAAAACTAAGTAAAATGAATTTTTCCTTTGGATTTTCATTGATACTGAAATAGCCATTCTGATCAGAAATTTAAGGTTCTATAGCTAATGTTAAGTGGATTTTACTTTAGCAACACCATGGGAAATAAAAGAGGACGGCAGAATAAAAACCACAATGAGAGCTTTAAAGTTGGAAGTCATTCTGAAGATGGCGTGAATTTGCCTTTTTAGGGAACTACGATTATCATTTGTCGAACTACCTCTTATTGCTGTTGCTGATGTGCTGTGTAGCAGAGTATTTGGAAATGATTTGTATTTGAATGCTTTTATTATTTATTTTTTTACAGGGACTAGAATCCCTATCACACCTTCAGAAAACAAAAGGAATTAGCAATAGTATATTAACTTTAAAAACAACTGTATGAGCCCCTTTGAAATTGATAGATATTTGTTCCCCCGAGTGGCTGAAATCTGATATCTAACTCATGTGTTTAATCTAAATTTCTCCTGTTTCTTAACATGCAAGCCATAGTTATAATTTACTGAAGTGATAAGGGATTTAAGTACACAAAACTTTTTGTGCTCTGCCTCCCCCTGGGATAATATATAGTGTATATTCAATTTGTGGGCGGTAACTACTACATTGTAGCTTCAGCACATTTGATTACTCAGCAGCAGGAAATTGTGTGGAAGTGGAAGGTAGAATTCATGATATTACTGAGTTTTATAATGTTAAGTTCTTGAATTTTCCCCACAATATTGTCTTGTACTGTATGATTTTCAGCATTTAAGAAGCGGTTTTGTTCTTTATAGCTGAACCAATAACGTTTCCATCTGGAGGAGGCAAGTCATTTATTATGGGTTCTGATGATGTTTTGTTAAGTGTACTGGGCCTTGGAGACCTTGCAGACTTGACGGTAACAAATGATGCAGACTATAGTTATGATGTAAGTGCAGTTTTATTTTTAATTTTTTAATGATTTAATAGAAGGCTCCTTATTTTTTGGAATCATTTATAAAACAGAATTAATGTCAAGGTGCATGGAAAAGATAAGTTTAAGTGTTGTCAATGTGTTGATTTGAAGTGACATGTAGTTTTGCTTTTATAATTTTCTTTGTGGTGTTTAAATCATTGTTGGGTATTGTGGATTAGGAAGGAATTTGGGATGATTACCTAAACATACTGGTTGACAAATACATCTTAAGTAGGTAACTCCCAGTTATTTACTCAGTTGAAGCCATATTTTGATATTAACAAAAAATAGACGATATATAGAAATCAGTTTTTGCCTTCAGGATGCTTCTTAAAAGCCATGTTTTACTTACTGATCTTTCATTTTCTTAAGAATAACAACCAAGTTAGCTTGTATTATTTCCTGAATACTTAACTTCACTTGAGGCCTAGAAAAAGGATTTCAGGAAGTGGGAAGAACTTTAAATATTTTCCAAATATAAACATTTGAAACTTAACTGTATTTGTATAGATTTTTGCATTAATTTCAGTTTTAGCAAATTTATTTTGGTTTTGACACATTTTTTTTCTATATTTTATATTTAGGATGCTTTTTAGAGATGTCATCCTTGGTGGGCTGGATAATTTGCAGTAATTTTTAAAGCATATATGCACTTAAATTCTAGTAAATTTTTGACTGCTTTAGGGGTAGTTTGCCAGCTTATCTTTACCATTGGAGAAATAAGGTTAAAAGATTGGCCTTTATTAATGTCAATAATTAGGAAAAGTGTTTCCTTAGCACACGCAGAGTCCTGGGTTTGATCCCCAGCACCACATAAACTGGGTGGGGTGGCACATGCCTGTAATCCCTGCATGTCAGAGATAGAAGCAGGAGGATCAGAAGTCCAAGTCCATCCTCAGCTATACATGAATTCAAGGCCAGCATGGGCTCTGTGAGACTCTCAGAAAAAAAAGATAAGACTCATGAAAATGTTTTTAAGGGTCTTTAGTTCATGTGTTTACAAAGTCCCTTAACTTGCTGCCTTGAAATTTTTCACATGCTGGTAAATTTCCTAAATGAAACCTGGTGTTTACTGTTTCCTTGAGTGTTTGGTAATTTATCCTGGTTTGTTTTCATGTAAATTATTACAGCAATATGAGTTATTTTGTTCTCATCTGACATTTAATAGGAGCTTTGAATTTAGCTTGATGATAGGTGAAAACAGATTGAGCAACTCTCCTTTTGGCCTTAGTTGAAAGTGTAATGAAATTATTCTTTTTAAAAGATAGACTTGCTCTGAAGTTTTTAAGGTACATTAGGATTTCCACTGGCTATTTTAGCGAAACAGTTTTAAATATATGTTTTAAACACACCAAAAAGAACACTAAAATTCCACATGCCTACCAGTTTATTACTTTTACTTGTAAACAATACCCTTTTTCTTTTTAGTTGCCTGCCAATAAAGATGCCTTTCGAAAGACTTGGAATCCCAAGTATACACTACGCAGTCATTTTGATGGAGTACGTGCATTAGCTTTTCATCCTGTAGAACCCGTGCTGGTTACTGCCTCTGAGGACCACACCCTGAAACTTTGGAACTTGCAAAAGACGGTTCCTGCGAAAAAGCAAGTGCTTTAATATTCACGTTTTTTCTTCTAATTTTATTCATTTGAACAATTATTCCTCTTCACTATCCTAAATCTTTAATGCCTCTGTACTACCAACCAGTGATTTATGATGACTTACTTAATTGCATTCTCCTCCCCTGTCCTTTACCCTTTCTTTAGGAGTGCCTCTTTAGATGTAGAGCCCATCTACACATTTAGGGCCCACATGTAAGTTTTTTAAAATTAGTACTTAATAATTACGGTTATTGTTAATAACTTATGTGTCAGTCTTGAAATCTTGTAATTTTCTCAGCATTCAATTTTAGAAAAGATCTATTAGTTGGATAATACATCATTTGATTAATTGTATTTTAATATGATAGAACAGTACTATTCAGTTGTACATTTTTAAATAAAATCATTTTTAGATACCTCATAAATGAAGAAATTAAAGAAAATGGGAATTTGAGTTTCTTCTTAGGATGTATAAGTAATTTTTTCCCCTTTTTCTATGATAGTGGCCCTGTTCTGTCATTAGCTATTAGTTCTAATGGAGAACAATGTTTTAGTGGTGGTATTGATGCAACCATTCAGTGGTGGAATATGCCCAGTCCCAGTGTGGATCCCTATGATACATATGGTAAGTAAAAGAGTCAAAATGCATTTTTTAAGTGACTCCAGCTGACAAAATTATAAACTTAAAATGTTATTGCAAAATTTTACAAACATATTGGTTTCCTTTTTTAGTTGTAAGTTTTATTAAAAAAGAGGAATGTTGCCAGGTGTGGTGGTGTATGCCTTTAATCCCAGCACTTGGGAGGCAGAGGCAGGTGGATCTCTGTGAGTTCAAGGCCAGCCTGGTCTGCATAGAGTTCCAGGCCAGCTGGGGCTACAGGGAAACCCTGTCTCAAAAAGATCCCACCCCCCCAAAAAAAAGAGAAATGTTATGCCATGAGTATAATGTGTAAATTGGTATTTTCTCTATAGTGTCTAAAGCATACTTGTTAAAATATTAATCTCAGTTAACAAAAAGAAGAGGTAGATAAAATGTAATCTAAGAAACAAAGTTTTAAATTTAAGCATCGTACATAAAGTACTTAAGTGTTCAGTGAAACAACAGAAGCAGTCAGGGATGGGTCAGTACAGCTTTTTAGAGGGACAAAACTTCTTTAATTTCAAAATGCAAAAACAGCAAAACTTGCCTTTTACAACCAGTACTCTGAGAAATCTGTTCTTGATAAAAGCCTGCATTTACATACATCTATATGGGTATTGTACATAATTACAAAAATGTTTATTGTTTTTATGAAAAGCTCTTTGTTGTTTTGCTTAACACATGGTGCCTACACTGTCAGGCATAATGGTAAGTACATTGTTCACAGAAACAAGATTGAGACTAAAGGAAAATACGGTTGTTAAATATTTTACAAGGGGTCAGGGAGAGTCTGGGCTTAAATTTTTTGTGAAGTGATAATAAAATAGCAGTACTATTAGGCACAGCAGTTGGACCTTTTAGATGAGAAATCAGGAATAGTCTGTCTGAATTAATGATGTTCCAGCCAAACACTAAAGATAAACAAGAATTTATGAGAATTTCTAAGACCAAGAAGTGACCTAAAAGTGTAGTTTAAGAAGATGGCTGTGCTTCTTGTGAGGGTAGTTGGGGAAAGGCTTGGTAGTGGCACCAGCTGTACCAATAGGAAGGTTAGAGACAGGAGTTGCCCTGGAGGCTGTTGGAATGTAGTAGGCCCGACTGAGAGAGACGTGATGTTGCCAAGATGAAGGGTGGTAGAGCAGTGAGAAGGAAGTAGGCGAGGCTGGAGAGAGGCTTAGCGGGTAAGAGTGGTCTGTTGCTTAGAACCCGGTTTGGTTCCCAACACCCACATGGCAGCTAACAACCATCTGTAACTCCAGTTCTAGGGGATCCGACACCCTCTTTTGACCTCTGTGGGCATTTTTAAGTATTTAATTTGGTAGTTTTTGCTGTGTACCCAGGTGTCCTAGTTAGTTTCTCCATTGCTGTGACAAAACATACTGACCACTACCAACTTGGGGAGGAAAGGGTTTATTTTGCATCTCCCAGGTCACAGTTCATCAGGGAGCCCAAGGTAGGAACTCAGGGCCGGAACCCGGAGGCAGGAGCTGCAGCACAGGCCATGGAGGAACGCTGCTTACTGGCTTGCTCCCCTGGCCCCTGCACACCTAAGCAAAACCAAAGTCCAGCAAAGTAGCTCAGGGCTGGACATCTGGGATTCACTCATGGTCTTCTGGGCTCCAAAGGGTTCTGGCAGCTCCACTTCTCTGACTCTGCTGTCCACAGCACACACAGCTTGTCTTGCAGAACCAGGCCAGCTCCATTCCACACCTAGTGCTGTCCTTGGTGGTTGTCCCATGGTCTGGGCATCTCCAAAGAGCTGGGGTCTCCACTGAAACTGAGGCTCCATCTTCACCAATGGCCTCTTCTTGCCTCTTGGGGTGCAAGTCCTCAGATTCTCTCCATGGCCCCTTCAGTCCTGGGGTCTTCTCTGCAACTGAAGCTGCACTTTCACCTATGGCCTCTCAGAGTGCCAAGCCTCAGCTGCTCTCTGTGACCCCTTCATGCTTTCAACACCAGAACTGTGCAGGAGACTCTTACACATTACCAAGTCCTGCTTCCAGCTAGAGATGGAGGCTCGGGTCCCTTCTGTGTCCTGCCCTGAGGAAATACCTCCCAGAAGATTTCACCATGGTGATGCTGGTCTCTTGTTACTTACAGCTGACTTTTCAGCCCCAGCTAACCAGCATCAATTGTCCCAGTAAAGCAAAGGTTTTACTTCAGATTCTGCTCTCTAATTAATCACAGCTGATTCGTCAGACCCGGCCGACCAGAACCCACAGATTCTCAGTTCAAAATATCACAGGAACAGCCCTAATAGTCTCTGCTTCCCTTTGAAACTTCACAAGCAGGCCTGCATCGTCTATAACTCTTTCAGCATAACTGTTCCAAGCTCCACAGCAACAAACACTGAACACTCAATGGCTTTTCTAGCCCAAAGTTCCAAACGTTTCCACAGTCCTTCAACATCAGATCTGTCACGGCAGTGCCCCACTCCTGGTACCAGTTTCTGTATTAGTCACTTTTCTGCTGCTGTGATAGAAACACTGACCCATGCAATTTATAGAAGGAAGAGTTTATTTGAGCTTACGGTTCCAGGAGAATTACAGTTCGTCGTGGCAGGGAGGCATGGTGGCTGGAGGTGGCTGGAGCAAGAGCAGCAGAAGCTAAACCCTCACATCATCATGCAGGCAGAAGACACAAGAGAGCAACTGGAGATCTGGGAAGGCTTAAGAACTCTCTAAGCCCACCCCCAGTGACGTGCTTCCTCCAGCATGGCCACACCTTCTCAGACCTCCCAAAACAGCACCATCAGCTGGGGACAGAATGTCCACATACTTGGAGCCTATGGGGGGGAGGGGGCATTTTCATTCAAACTATCACAGCAGGGTTGTCTAGTTGTCATCACTCTGTAATTGCAGGACATTGTCATCTCCAGTACTGGAGCTTTTGACATTGCAACTGAGGGTGTAGATAGTGGCACTTACTGAAATAGAGTTAGAATGAAGGAGTGTGAGTGAGTGAGTGAGTGAGTGAGTGAGTGAGTGAGTGAGTATGAATTGAGATGGTGATGTGAGACTGAAGTCTTTCCTAGTCCTGACATTGGCTGGAAGCAGGAGAAAGTTGTGAGTGGAATCATGGAAACATTCCCAAAGAAGAAATCATTTCGAGGAGAACAAAGTCTGCAGATACTTCTGAGATAATTCCTTTTTATAAGTGACACAGGTCACTAAGATCTTGGCTGCATAGCTGGAGGTTAGATGCCTGAGCTTTGACCCCCTAAAGGAGCCTCTTGATATCACTTAAAATCAGATTATAGGAATGAAAAGCAATGTGATGGAAACAAAAAATAACGTGTCGTCAAAGAAAGAAAAGTACATGGTAGACTTGTCAGCAGTGCTCATTTTAGCAAGATGCGCATTAATGTGGCAATGGTCTCAGAAACCGCACTGCAGTGCTTTGAAGAGTAACTAGAGGTGAAAGATGATTTACATACCAGGCTTTTCTACAGTTTCACGGGACGTGTGATAAGGTTAACATTTTTCTTGTTCAGGTTGAAAGAGTCTGGTACAAGCCCTCCCCCCTCCCTTTAAAAAAAATTGTTGGAGGAGGATTTGTATACTAGAGAGAAAGCGTGAAAGCAAGAGAACTTGGCTGGACTTCAGAGTACCTGGCAGGCCTCACCTCTGACCGGCAGGAGCACAACTTTTTACTTGTATCTGGAATTAATTGGTTTTAAGTGGGGGAGGGCGGAAGGGTAAGATCTCAGGACAACTTCTGGAAATCAGTTCCGAGTTTCAGGGATTGAACTCAGGTCTTGAGGTTTGTACGGCAAGCCCCCTTTACCCATTGAGCCATCTCTCTGGCCCCATGGAAACAAGGGCATGGCTTTAATTGAGATTGGGATTGATGCGAGAAGGGTCCCCTCTGAAGGCTGTATTTTCTTGATGAAGTATGAAAGTTATTCTCAAGAAAGGGAGGTTGTAAACTCCGAGGATGAAGGAAATGATGATAAATATTCATGCAAAAATAGGAAGAGTTAGCTAGAAATACAGAAATACAGGATTGCCCTCAAGTGTCAATCTGTCAATGAATGGGCAATTAAGATTTGATGATACCAAACACTGGAATATTATTTGGCAATAAAAAGGAATGATGTGCTGATAAATGTAACAAAATGGCCTTGAAACTGAAGAACCCAGGCACGAAAGACTGTGTTCTGTAGGACTCCATGTACAAAATGTTCAGAACAGGCCTATCTACACAGACCAGTAGATCAGTGATTGCCAGAACTTGGGAAAGGTGAAGAGGAAGAGTTGGGGACAGTGGCTAATGAGTAATTAGTGCCCTGTAGGTCAGCATGGTGATAGTTGCACAAGACAGTGAACGTACTACATGTTGCTGTGCTCTTAAATAAGTGAGCTGTATAGATTTAAATTACATCTCAGTAGAGTTGTGTTTTAAGTGTATGTACCTTACGGAAACTGTGAAAATACAGAATTGTATGTTGTAATGTATGATTAAAAATAGCCCATAAGGCAGAGGCAGGGGGATCTCTGTGAGTTTGAGGCCAGCCTGGTCTCCATAGCAAATCCAGGCCAGCTAGGGCTACAGGGAGACCCTGTCTCAAAAAGATTAA